TAGGGTTTTTTTTTTTTTTTTTTTTGGTACCAGAGATTGGCAAGGCAGGAGGCCGCACCACTGAGCTAAAGCCCCAGCTGACCTACAGGATTTTTCAATTGCTGTAATTATCTTCTACCAAATGGCTACTTTGCCTGAGAAACAGAAACATAAAAATCTGTTCGTATCACACTTAACAGCCTAAAATTGGAATGATCCTTCAAAATAAGCAACTTACTTCCTGAGGTTGATCAAATACACTCTGGAAATCTCCAAAAGATGATGATGAGAACTCCCCGAATATCTTCCTGAACAGCTCCTCTGGGTCAACAGAAGGGCCTCCCCTCCAGTATCTCTGCCCAGAGCTGCTGGCCCCAGGATCAAAGCTGGAAGAGCCATAGGTATCATACTGTTTCCTCTTCATTTCATCACTCAACACCTATGAAAACAAAGGTAGAGGCATCAGGCATTTCTATGTCATCTGAGGTCCAGGAACACAGACACACACACACCAAGTAAGGCAGTCACAATATTACTAAGAGGCTCCTGTGCAAAAATATTCTATGAGGGTCTCTGGGATGGCTGGGACTTTGTCGTCAGCACCTAGGAGAGGAGAGAGATGACTTCACTGGACTCAAGTACGGAGACTGAAGTACTTTAAAATATCTTACAAAAAACCCCAGGGCTTTCCAAACTGAAGAAATGCTTGTTAATCTTCACATGACCTCAAAGGCACCCCGGATTTTTCACAGATTCACATTTCATCTCTTCATAGGAGATGCTGCTTGGTAGAAAATTTAAGACTTTCTACGCTTTACTTCTCATAGACAGGTCTAGAAGCCACAACAAAAGAGCAACAGACAAGAGGAATAGCAGTAATAAGGGGCAGGGAGAGTGGACCAAGGCAAGGATACACACTGAAGATTACACTGAGTCCTGCACATATATTCAGGTTTTGACACGAAGCTGTTAGTAGGGACTGACTGACTACCTCAAAAAGTGCAAGTAGGTAGTAAACAGCAAGTAAACAGCTTCTCTTGAGATTTGGTGACCAGATGCTGGAATATAGTTCCATGAGGAAGAGAAGGAGGAAGGCAGTGAGTCCCCAGGACCCAGCAAGGATCTGAAGTGAGAACTGAAGCCCATAGGGAGAGTGAAGAGAGACCTCAACAAAGAAGAAGGAGGTAGGATCTGAAGTGAGAACTGAAGCCCATAGGGAGAGTGAAGAGAGACCTCAACAAAGAAGAAGGAGGTGGCAAGCAGCACCTTCTCCTTGAGCCTGTACTCACTGTGTGAGAAGGGAAACTCCAACCTGCAGACACACAGTTACCACTGGTGACCCCAGAGGCCTCCATGGAGAAATGCATCAGCAGAATGGAGCGGTGGACACAGCAAACTGCAATGGCTGGTGAGTTACTTGGGTTCAGACATTCCCCAAGAGAGGGTGATGGGCTTGGAGAGAGACCAACTGAGCTTGTTAACTCAGAGCAGCTCCAGGCTGGATCTATCAGGGTGAGGTGTAAGCAGGAGGTCAAGGAGCCAAGTTCAAACTGGCAGGAGGCATACAGGGTGTTGCATGCTGAACAAACAGGGTTCCAGCCTCACAGCCTGAAACCAGCCTGAGCTTCAGAACTAAAGGTACAGGCTTGCTGGGATTATCTACTACCTCACCATAAATCTTTGGCTGGCTTGTTAGGAATTAATCAACATGGATCTGGACTCTGTCTGCTCACTCTGTCTACCAGTAACAGCAGGGACATGCCTTGAAGTAGACTTTTTTCTCTTGTTTTCTTCTTTGTTCTTGTTTTTATATAAGTGTGAACATTGTTTCTAGTTTTTTGTTGTCATTCTGTTCTGCTTTTATTTTTGCCTTCTCTTTCCCTCCTGCCTCTATCAGTTTTCCAAAGTTTATATAATCTTCCTTTATTCTCCATGTTTGCTTCTAATCTCTTCCTTTTTCTATTTCTCTACTTTTCCCCCCTCACCTCTTTTAAACTTTTCTCCTGAGGGTTAAATCGCCATAATGAGGGCATATTTACTGTATACAATTGTCTGCTTTTAGATTTTGTTATGTAACCACAAATCTAGTTTATACAGTTAAAGGTGGCAAATTAATAGCTACCAATTTGTCATTTTCTAGACTGTATTTGACGCTATTGTTGTTGCTGATTGTACTACTTTAGCCAGAGTGACATAGCTGTTCCAATCTGTCTTTTGTTGGGTTTTTTTTCCAGCACCAGGACTTGTACTTGTGAAGCAGGTATTGTGCCACTTAGTTAAATCCCTGGCCCTCCAGTCCATTCTTCCTGGTGTGCCAAGACTGAGATGGCCTAAGAGTCATAAACACTATTATAGAACAGTGCCAGGCAGAAACTTCTCATCCCCAATAAACTGAAGTGGTAGGATTTTCCAAGAGACTCAAACCTCAAAGCTAGCTATACATGGAAGTCATCTCTGAGAAGTAGTCATTTCCTAAGGGTTCTTCTTTTTTGGTACCGGGGATAGAACTCAGGTCCTTGTGCTTGCAAGGCAGGTGGCAAAACCATTGAGCTAAATGCCCAGCCCCTCCTAAGGGTTCTAAAACTAGCAATAAAACTACTTGCCCTAAGTAATTTACAAGCATCAACCTGGTAATTAAACTAAGAAGTGCAACTAACTGAATACCAAGGGGGAAAATGCAATATTCACTTTGTATCTATCTTTTTTTGTGGTGTTGATGATCAAGCCCAAGGACTCAGGATTGCTAGGATTTACTACTGAGCTATATTCCCAGCTCTACATTGTATCTCTGTATATATTTTACCTGTGGATTAAAAATACACTGCCCTAGAGATCAAACAGAAAAGAGCATTCTTCCTCCTAGGGAAAAAGCACTTCCACTTAGAATGGAAGGGGACTAAGAGACTTAGGAAAACAGCTCAGAGCCTAAGGTTCTTGTTAAGTATCACAGTGAAGGTACAAAGAATAAAGGCAGAGAAAAGGAAGAAAGTAGGAACCCAACACTGATAGCTTTTGTTTCTTGGATCCAGCCTCCCTGAGAAATTTTAGGAATTGCTGTTCTGAGCTCCTGTCTTACTCGTTGCGAGCAGTACTAGGGACTGAATATACAGGGCCTCACGCATACTAAGTAAGCACTTTAGAGCCCAGTCTTTCTTATTTTGAGACAGGGCCTAAGTTGCTCAGGCTTGTCTTGAACTTGGGATCCTACTGCTCCAGCCTCCCGAACAGCTGGGATTACAGGTATGTGCTGCCACACCCAGCTCATCTACCTTTAATAGCATTTCCCAGGAGGTGGAAATCAGCAAGATAGTGGAACAAAACTCTCTAGTACTTGTTCCCTACAGAAACACTGGATCAAACAACTATTAACACACAAAATTTTTAGGAACATCCCTCACTAAAAACTGAATCTTGGGCTGGGGATTTAGCTCAGTGATTCTACTGCCTGCTTTGTACATACAAGGTATCCCTAGTACCATTAAAAAAACAAACAAACAAAAAAAACTGAATCTTATTTTCAACAGAAGCAGGTTCTGAGACTCTTTAGTTTTGTTATCGCCTAATTTGCTACTTTACTATTATTTAGAAATAATGCTATCAAACACATCTTTCCTTATGTGATGGTTGATTTTGGTTGTTAACTTGATTCTATTAAGGAATGCTTAAAAACTGGTGAAGCACATTCTGGGTGTGTCTGTGAGGGTGTTTCCAGAGAACACTGGTATGTGAACCAAGTTGGGAAGACCCTTCCTGAATATGTCAGGTGCCATACAATAGGCTGTTGCCTGAATGGAATGAAAAAGCAGAAGTGGGAGACTAGCTGTCACTGGAACTTAACCATTCTGAATAGGTGCATTTTCTGTTGCTGTCACCTGTGGACAACAGACTCAGATTCTATAGCCTTTGAACATAAATGCACACCAGATACACTATAGGAGGCTTTCACACCTTCAGCCATGAGGTGCACCGCTGGCCTCTCATTCTGAGGCTTCCAGCTTCTTGGACTGAACAGATACGAGTTTCCCTGGTTCTCCAGCCTACAGACAACCACTATGGACTACTCCGTCCCCAGTCACATGAACCAATCAAGTAAGTTATTTTATATGTATTCTATTTATCTAGAAAACTCTAATCTACATTAGATGTAGCTGACAGGGAGTAAGACATTTATTCAGTAAGTATTTATAAGGGCTGGGAATTTAGCTCAGTGGTTCTGCTGCCTGCCTCACAAGTGCGAGGTCCCAAGTTTGATCCCTGGTACCAAAAACACCCCCCAAAAAACAAACAAAAAAAGTATTTATGAGTTAAGGCTGTTTTCTTATGTAGCCATCTATTCCAAGGGATTATAAACTACTACATATTCAGATCAACTTCAGGATGGTCAAAGTCTAGGAGAAAGTCAAGTTTCCAACAATTCTGGATGGTCAATGGGCATTGTTCCATAAGTATATATACTTTGTCTTCTGATCACATTTTAATGTCTTCAGGGAAATGATAGTCTTCTACTTTCAAAACAGTCACTATCCCCAAGGTAGCAACATTCTAAGCAGAAGAATCACTGAAAAAGACTGAATTAATTAATCCAACTGGGAGTTCCTAAATTCAGCCACATATAAAAATTACCTGGCAATTTTATTAATATAGGCTATTGGATTCTAGTCATTTCCTTATTTAGATTCCAAGTTAACAGACCTAGCATGAGAGCTCTGAAGGTTCTTGTATTTATTCTTATAAGGTGATCTTGGTGAAAGGACACTGCTTTCCCACTGGACCATGTCACAAGTCAAGACATTTTGTGCAGCCAAGCAAACACTGATTCATACATGGAGTTCAATGACAGTGACCACATGCACAACAATCACATTACCTCATAGGCTTCTGCCAGCTGGGAGAATTTCTCCTTAGCTTTGGGGTCATCCTTATTCGTGTCAGGGTGATATTTCTTGGCAAGCTAAGGAAAAAAACAGTAAATTACAATGGACAGAGATGGCTATTAAACAGAAGCCAAATACAGGTTACAGTTATGCCTTCTTTATTTTATCTGCAGTACTGGGAGACTGAACCTAGGGCCTCAGCAATGCTAGGCAAGTACTCTATCACAAAGCTACATCTCCAATCCCTCTTATTTTTTAAAGACAAGATCTCACTAAAGGGTACAGGCTGGCCTCAAACTTGCAATCCTCTTACCTCAGCCTCTCAGGTAGCTGGGATTATAGATGTGCATAGGGTATTTAAGAAGTTCTAAGAGGAATTTATATATTTCAATGATAAGGCAAAAAATGTTGTTAGTATACCCTATGTTATTAGCATGGCCATTCTGAAATATAGCACTGATTTCTGTGTGAAAATAAAACTTGTCCATAGTCTGAAAAACAAAGGAAAGCAGTATAGGCAACCTCAGGGATTCCCTATGGGCTACTGTGTCTGTGCTTATGTGCAAAGAATAAAGATTCACATCATACATAAATAATGGATCTGTGCAAAGCAGATAAAATCATGACGTGGCTCATAGCACAAAGAATGCAAAGGAATTGAAATTTTAAAATGAGGATAGGGGGCTGGGGATGTAGCTCAGTGGTTCTGTGCCTGCCTGGTAAGCACAAGGTCCTGCGTTTGATCCCAGGTACTGGGGGAAAAACATGAGACTGGGGCTGGGCACAGTGATAAAAGCCTATAATCCCAATGCTGAGTACGCTGAGGTAGGAAGATAGCAGCAAATCTGAGGCCAGCCTGGGCTACATAATGAGTTCAAGGCCAGCCTGAACTGCAGAGAAAGACCTTGTCTATACATACATACAAACATACATATATACAGGGACCAGAGGTATAACTCAGCAAAAAAGATAAAAGGGGGCTGGGATTTAGCTTAGTGGTACTGCACCTGTCCCACAAACACAAGATCCTGAGTTCAATCCCCAGTAACAAAGGGAAAAAAAAGGGAAACAAAAGAGAAAAAAAGAAAAAAACTAAAGAAATTACTTTAAACATATACTAAGCAGCCAGGTATGGTGGAACACGCCTGTAATCCCAGCACTCGGGAGGCTGAGGCAGGAGGACTGCTGTGAGTTCCAAACCAGCCTGGGCTACATAGTGAGTTCCAGGTCAGTTTCAACTACATAATGAGACCTTGTCTCAAAAAAGTCTCTTGTTAGAAACATGTATTATAAAAAACTATGATATGAAGAAAACACCTGATTTTACACAAACACTATTGTCTATTACATACAATTATTACAGTAAGTCCTGACAAACGAATATTCGAGTTGCAAACTTTCACAGATACCAATGGACCTTGCATTACCAACATTTGTAGATATGAACATAATGCAGAAGTAGCTCAATCTAACCATGTACCACCATTTTAAGGTTACTGTAAAAGTAAAAAGTTTATTTACAGTATTTTTTGTTTGGGTTTTTTATATGCTTTACATTATATATTTGTGTCAAAGGCATATAACACTCACTTTGTCAGACTTATGAACAAATCCAACCTTCGAATGTTTTCCCAGAACAGAACTCATTCATAAGTCAGGGACTTATTGTATTTAAAAGTGAATCTGGGGCAGGATTTAGCTCAGTCGCATCGTACCTGCCTTGTAAGCACAAGGTCCCGAGTTTGATCCCCAGCAAGAAAGAAGAAAAGTAAGTAAGTGAGTCTGGCATCCACTAACTTGTTTTCATTGTCTTTTTTTTTTTTTTGGTACCAGGGATTGAACTCAGGTCCTTGCATTTGCAAGGCAGGTGGTGGCACCACTGAGCTAAGTCCCCGGCCTTCTCATTGTCTGTCTGTCTGTCTTTCTTTCTTTCTTTGGTTTTTGGAGACAGGGTCTCACTATGTAATTCTTATCACAGTAATGAAGATGAAGATGATGAAGTGGGTGGGAGAAGATGGTGGTGGTGATGGTGGTAGTGAATAATAAAAAATGACCATGAGGGCCGGAGATTTAGCTCAGTGGCACCATACCTGTCTCACAAGTGAAGGTCCTGAGTTCCATCCCCAATCCCCCCACCAAATAACCATGCTTCAGGGATTGGAGATGATTCTCTATCAACAATATCATTTGCTCATACTGTTGAACCTAGAAGCTTCGAATAAATACTGGGGAAAGAACTACTTTAAAATTCAGTGAAAAGAAAGATGAAGCCAAATGTAAATGAAAGAACAGCTCTGGTAGTAGTTATTCTATCCATGAGCTGTCTTCAATCAGAACTGTAGGTGGAGGATCGCTGTGAGTTCGAGACCAGCCTGGGCTATATAGTGAGTTCCAGGTCGGTCTCACTACAAGTAGACCCTGTCTCAAAAAAACAAAAACAAAACAGAACTCCTGCTGGCATTTACAGAATTTTTGTTGATGTTGTGAATGGAGAATATGTCCCTCCTAAATTAATTCTCAAGTCTCGAAGCAGAGAGAACAGTGTTTGTAGTTATACTGCTGAAAGCAGTGCTGCTGAATTTGATGAAAGGCAAGGAGTTTTGAACAGAACTAGCTGTGAAGAAGCCATTTGCAGTGACACCAGTGAGGACATTGTGGAAGAGGAGCCACAAGAAGAAAGTCATCCAAGGAAACCTTTGCTCTCATCGGGAGCACCTGGAGCTTTTTCTGGAAATGTAATAGAAAAAGAATTTTTATCATCTTCTTTAACACCACACCTAGCCATTGCTCACCTTGTACTGCCCACCATTCCAGAAAGAAAAGAAATTCTGTCAGAAGCATCTGAGGAAACTGTAAAAATGGGTTTCAAAGTTCAAAGCTGCCAGACTGCAACAGAAAAGCTAGGAAATGAGAGTTTACACCTTAAAACCCAGTTGTGCCGGGCGTGGTGGCGCACACCTGTAATCCCAGCACTTGGGCGGCTGAGGCAGGAGGATGGCTGTGAGTTCGAGACCAGCCTGGGCTACATAGTGAGTTCCAGGGCAGTCTCAACTACATAGTGAGACCCTGTCTCAAAAAACCAAAAGAAAAAAAAAAAACCTAGTTGTGCATTTTTAGAATATACATAGCAAAATATGTTACATGTAGTGTGAATAAAGCATCTCAAGTTAGTTTGGCAGCAACTTTTTTATCCTTATCAGTGAGTGGTACTAAAAAATTCAAAATAAATGTTCAAATACTTTCATATTCAGCTTGTTTGTTAATTCTCTCAATACTGTCTAAGTTGGTCTTATGATGCAGTGGTTGCATTTCAAATTATTTTTCTTTTCCAAGAATACTGTTCATATACATTGTTTTTGTATTTCAAACTAAATACAAGTAGTTTTGTTCTAGCTGTGATGTTGTGCATACATAGAGACCACTGCCAAGAAACTTAAAATTTCAATGGATTCAACAATTATATTACTTGTTTTTGTGTTTTGTTTTGTTTTTTGTTTGTTTGTTTTTGAGACAGGGTCTCACTATGTAGTTGAGACTGACCTGGAACTCACTATGTAGCTCAGGCTGGTCTCGAAGTCACAGCGATCCTCCTGCCTCAGCCTCCAAGGGGTGCTGGGAATATAGGCGTGCACCACCATGCCCAGCTACTTGCTTTCGTGTTTTAAAGGCACTTTATTTATTTGTTTTGCAGTACTGGGGATTGAACTCAGGACCTTGCACTTGTGAGGCAGGCAGCAGCACCACTGAGCTAAATCCCTGGCCCTAAAGGCACTTTTTTAAAAAATCCACTTTCCATTGCCCAAATGCTGTCAAGCAACAAGTGAATAAAGATGTGTTTTTTTTTATACAATGGAGTACTACTCTGCCATAAAGAATGAACTTCAGATATCTATAGCTAAATGGATGGACCTTGAGATCATACTCTTAAGTGAAATAACTCAGACACAAATGTTTAAATATTGCAGTTTCTCTGGTAAGAGAAACCAAAAGTGAAAATAAGGACTAAAATGTAAAATAAATATTGGGAAATGGGAAGAAAATGTTCAAATGGGAAGGGGAACAAAGGAGGAGAAAGACAGAAAGGGACAAGAAAAAAAGTCAAACTAGAAGGAAAAACTGGAAACAAAGCTTTTGTACTTAGGAAGAGAAGGTGCATAAAGGGAGGGGGTAGAATGGGGTAGAATAAAATTTATTTTTTTTAAAAAATCTTCTTTTTTTTTTTTTTTTTTTTTTTTTTTTTTTTTTTTTTTGGTACCGGGAATCAAACTCGGGTCCTTGCGCTTGCAAGGCAGGCCACCGAACTGCTGAGCTAAATCCCCAGCAAAAATCTTTTCTTATAGGCTTTGCAGTTAGGTAGCTGTTTTAAAATCCTCTCTTGGGCTGGGGATTTAGGGAATATCTTATAAAAACATTTTTAAAGTCAAAATTTTATGAAACTTGAAAACAAAAAAGGTAGCCAGGCATGGTGATATACACCTATAATCCTAGCACTCAGGAGGCTGAGGCAGGAGGATGGCTGTGAATTTGAGACCAGCCTGAGCTACACAGTAAGTTCCAGGGCAGTCTGAATTATATAGTGAGACCCTGTCTCAAAACAAACCAAACCAAAACAAAAACAACAACAACAACAACAAAAGGCAGAAGGCACATTTCTCCAAAGACAAATAAATGGCCAACAAACACCTAAAATGCTTAAATAATTAGTTACCAGGGAAACGTAAATTAAAATCACAATGTGATACCATTTCATGCCTACTAAGATGGTTACAATTAGAGCCTGGGATTTAGCTCATTGGCACCATGTCTGCCTTGCAAACACAAGGTCCTGAGTTCAACCACCAAAAAAAAAAAAAAGAAAGAAAAAAAAGATGGTTGCAATTAAAAAGACTTGTTAAAAATCTTAAAAATAAGCGTTGACTTCCTCTAGTATTAGAGATGCAGGACAATACTGTATCATACCTCTGTGAATGTAAAATATCTTGTACCTGCTTTATGATACATAGTAGTGACCATGCTTTATCAGAGCTGTTTTTTGTTTTGTTTTGTTTGGTTTGGTTTGGTTTTGGTTTTGGTTTTTTTGAGATAGGGTCTTACTAAGTAGTTGAGACTGACCTGGAACTCACTATGTAGCCCAGGATGGTCTTGAACTCACAGTGATCCTCCTGCTTCAGCCTCCTGAGTGCTGGTATTATTTGACAAAGGGCATTGCTAAGTCACTAAGTTGCCCAGACTGGGCTCAAACTTGAAGTCCTTCTGCCTCAGCCTCTCAGAGTGCCGAGATTATAGGGGTGGCCCCTACATCTGCCTGGCATGGGGTTTATGAAGCAATGAAAATTGGTTATAGTGATGGCTATATAACTCTGAATGTACTAGAAACTAATGAACTGTGCACTAAAAAGAAAAAGCTGTTGACTTTCTGGTGGTGACAAACTCCCTGGAAGCCTATGCTTCTCTCAAAAGATCTCCTTCCTCAATCTCCAAAGGAGCAGAGGAGGAAGCACAAGAAGTGCCTCGTGCAGAGACCCAATTCTTACTTCACGGATGTTAAGTGCCCAGGACGCTATAAAATCACCAGTCTTTAGCCATGCACAGACAATAGTTTTGTATGTTGGAGGCTCCATCTCCTCTGCCAATCTATAGGAGGAAAAGCAAGGTCTACAGAAGGATGTTCTTTCAGGAGAAAGCAGCACTAATGGTACCCTGAATCAAGATGAATGGGAAGCCATCCCAACAAGCACATTTTGGATTAAAAATAAAAGCTGTTGAGGGCCAGGATGTAGCTCATAATGTGCAGTGCTTTCTGTACTCTTAAGTATAGAAAGTAGTAGTATGTGCTTTCTATACTTAAGGCCTTGGGTCCAATCCCAGCACCTAAATAATGGCTAAACATGGAGTTCAGTGGTAGAGCACTTGCCTAGCATATACAAAGCCCTGAGTTCAATTTCCAGCATTACAAAATATAAATAGCTATCAATCCCACATTGCTGACACCAGGTATGGTGGTGCACTTCTATCATTTCAGCACTCGAGGGGCTGAGGCAGGAGGATCACAAGTTCATGGCCAGCCTGGGCTACGTAATGAGTTCAAGGCCAGCCTGCATTACAAAGTGAGTTCAAGGACAGCCTGCACTCAAAAACACAATAAATAAATGAAATCTGTTTTTAATTTGATCTTTTTTTTTTTTTGGTACTGGGGATCAAACTTGGGACCTCGTGCTTATGAGGCAGGCAGCGGAACTACTGAGCTAAATCCCTGGCCCGATCTTTTTTTCTTTTTTGTAAAGCATTAACTATCAAAACACATCTTCCTCAGACCACTCCATACTATCAGCGGCATATGACCCACAAGTATGGGTTGTACACTGTACCAATCAGCACTGGACAAGACCAACAACTGTACTTCTATAGTCTTATTGTTAAATCTGACTTCCATACAGACCTGGTAATAGGCTTTCTTGATCTCTTTCTGGCTGGCATTTCGGGGGACTCCTAATATCTGGTAATAATCTTCTTTGTCCAAAGGGCTGCTTGTGTGGAAGGAGGCAGTACAAACAAAAGGGTAAACTTTTGCTCCTAAAAATGGAAAAAAAGAAAATCACTAGGAATGTGTTCAACAAGAAGGTAAATGATCAGCCAGATATATCTGTGATGGAACAAACAGGTCATAGACATGCTCCCCTCTGAGCCCATTTGGTGACCTCACACAGTGTACTTCAAAAGTGGCTAGGGCCGGAGATTTACCTCAGTGGTTCCACCACCTGCCTCGAAAGATCAAGGACCCAAGTTTAATCCCTAGTATTGGGAAAAAAAAAAAAAGTGGCTAAAGCCAGCTGGATCTGGTGGCATGCATCTATGATCTCAGCTACTTAGGAACCTGAGGCAGGAGAATCAAATTCTAGACCAGCCTGGACCATTTAGAAAGACCCTGTCTCAAAATAAAATAAAAGATTGCTAGGGACACAGCTCAGCACTCCCTGGGTTTAATCCCTTGTATCAGAGAAAAGTGGCTAAAACCACTATTTTCAATTTATATAATGTCATATCATATAACATAGCTAGTATAATACCTGTAAATATCCTAGAGAAGTGACTGCACTTGGGACATGATTTAAAAAGGATTTAGCTCCCTCTGATACAGTGCCCAAGCACTTATAACTGCTATGTATTTCTTTGTTGTTGTTGTTGTTGTTGGGGGGGGTGGTACCGGGGATCAAACTCAGGACCTTGGGCATGCAAGGCATATGTAGTATCACTGAGCTAAAATCCCTGACCCAACTGCTATGCATTTCTGTAAGTTCCTGTCTCACTCAATATTTAATTCCCCATACCCTTCTTCCACAATCATGCAACTTTGGAGGTCTACTTCTGGGCTGGTTCTCAGAATGTGGTCATCAGCCCAGCAGCATAATTAGCTTTTTGTAAACACAAAATCTCAGGCTCTGCCACAGACATGAATCAGAAAATCTGGAGGCTTCTATTTCCTAGGTGCTAGTAGCAAACCAGCACATATACTCCCACCAAATTGAAGGCCAAAATCAATGCCTCCATACACTGCCCAATGTCCTGTTGAGAATTAAAACTACTACTTGCTGTAAACCATTGACAACCCAACCTAAGAATTTCAGGGAACGAGACTGTCCAGTAAGTTTGCTAACTTAAAGCTATTCAGGAGGCTGAGGCAGGAGGATCACTTGAACTCAGGAGTTTGAGATTAGCCAGAACAACAGTGAAATGTTTTTAGTTTTTTTATGTGAGACAGGGTCTTGCTATGTAGTTCAAGCTGGGCTTGAACGCACTATGAAGCTCAAGGTGGCCTTGAATTCTCAGGGATCCTCCTGCCTCAACCTCTGGAGTGTTGGGTGCCTCAACCTCTGGAGTGCTGGGATTACAGGTGTGCAATACCATGCCCAGCTGAGTTGCTGCTTAAAAAAAAAAACTCTGCCAGGTGTAATGGTGCACACCTGTAATCCTAGTACTCAGGAGCTTGAGGCAGGAGGTCTGTCACAACTTCCAGGCCAGCTGGGGTTACATAGTAAGTTCAAGACCAGCCTCAACTATATGGTGAGATCCTGTCAATTGTTTATTAGCACAAAGATGTAAGACATGTTTGTGTTCCTTGTGGATAGTTGGTAACACCTTAATTCCTTTTTCCACCCCCTTTCCCTTCCTTCCCTATTTCCACCCATCCTTTGATCCTATTTCTTTTGTGTGTGTACATTTGTGTTTCTTTTGTAGAGTTGGTAAATGTATATAACACATCCCAATTCCTTTAAAAACCTTTTTCTTTAGTTAAAAAAAAAAGTTCAGGGGAAGATTCTAGGGTACCTTCTAATAAGCATCAGAAATTGGCTATGCTGAGGCACTTGAATTCATCCATATTTACACCTGTGATATTAGTGGCTGACATAGTATGGACTTCAATAAACATTTACAATGAATGAATTTTCATGGCTAAGAGAAGCTCAAGGAATTAAATACACGCAGGTCACTTACTCTGTAGAGGCAAGTCTGTTTGTCTTCAAAACCCATGCTCTTATTTTTTTTTCTCTTTTTGTCTTGGGGTGGGGGTGGGGCTGGGGATTGAACCCAGGGCCTTTACAGTGAACTACATTTCCAACTTTTTTCCTAATTTGAGACAGGATCTTATTAAATTTCCCAGGTTGGACCTGAACTTGCAATCCTCCTGCTTCAATCTCCCAGAGTGCTGGGATTACAGGCATTCACCACCACACCTGGCCTCTCTTTATTTTTTTCAGTACCAGGGACTGAACTCAGGACCTTGTGCTTGCAAGGAGGCATGGCGCCACTGAGCTAAATCCCCCAGCCCTGTATCTTTTTTATTTTGAAACAGGGTCTTTTGTCAAATTGCCCATGTTGGGCTCAAACTTTTAAATTTTTTCTCAGCCTCCCAAGTAGCTGGAATAACAGGCATGTGCCACTGCACCTGGCTGCCCATACTTTTGAAACTGCACAAAAAAAATCACAATTACTGAAATGTTAATGACTACCTATTATGTAACCATTACAAAACAGGAAATTATCTTGAGTAAATTACCTAGTCAACCTTCATAAATGTGCAGGTAGCTTTAATATCACTTGTACAAATTCTAGGAAACACAAAACAAAGAGCACAAGTCAGGAACATGGAAGGTTGTTCAATATTTCCTTCTTTTGTTATCCAACACAACACATGAAAATATCACGTCTAAGCACTTCAAGATTTATTACATATAAATCGGATATTGATCCAGCAATTAAGGTAGCAGGTTTTCATGAGCCAAAATAAATCTTCTTTTACAACAGACCTCTGTGTGCAGGTAGCTTTAATATCACTTGTACAAATTCTAGGAAACACAAAACAAAGAGCACAAGTCAGGAACATGGAAGGTTGTTCAATATTTCCTTCTTTTGTTATCCAACACAACACATGAAAATATCACGTCTAAGCACTTCAAGATTTATTACATATAAATCGGATATTGATCCAGCAATTAAGGTAGCAGGTTTTCATGAGCCAAAATAAATCTTCTTTTACAAAGCAGACCCCTGCCATTTTTTTTTTTTTTTAGCTTTGTGACATTCTACAAATTAATATCTAAGCCTTAGTTTCTCTGTGAAATGGAATCACAGTACCACAGTAAGCGCTGGAGTAAATGTTTGTGTTATTATAAGCATTGACATAAGATTTTCTAAAACAATATGTCCTACCACGTGGTGGAAAGAGCGCAAACTATGAAACCAGTTTTAGATTTTTTTTTTCTTTTTTTGGTACTGGGGATCAAACTCTGGCCCTTGCGCTTGAGAGGCAGGCGCTGGAACCACTGAGCTAAATCCCCGGCTCCCATAGTTTTAGATTTGAGACAACTCATCTAATTTATGACCTTAATCAAGTCAATTTCTTTTAAGAGCTTTGGTTTTACATTCTTTGTTTTTTTGATAACGGGATCGAACTTGGGCCGTTGCATTTGCAAGGCAGGCGGTGGCACCACTGAGCTAAATCCCCGGCCCTCACACTCTTTAAAAGTAGGGGCATGGTCCCGGGGTTGGGGGCGCATGCCTGTAATCTCAGCACTCGGGAAGTTCACACTGTGAGTTCGAGATCAGTGTGGGCTACATAGTTCCAGGTCAGTCTCAACTACACAGTGAAACCCTATCTCAAAACAAAACAAAACAAAACCCACAAAAATATACATATATAGGGGCATGGTGGCATACACCTGTAATCTCAGCACTAGGGACGCTGAGGCAGGAGGATCGCCAAGAGTTAAAAGCCAGCCTGGACTACATAATGACTATACAGTCAGACCCTGACCTCCCGCCCCCCAAAAAAGAGGGCGGTGATAATCTGCACAATGGAAGATTATTGACTGCCTAGCACTCACTGAATGGCGGCTGCCTCTTTCCTTCCACTACGGGAGGTAGATTGGAAAAGACACAGCAAGGCAGCAGCGGCCTAGAGAAATGTTGACAGAAAGGCGAGAGTTCATGGCCTTCGAGGTATTTCACCACCCCGAGCTCCACGCATCTTTTCTCCCCGACTTCTGGGCAAGTTCTAGGCCTCTCTGCCTTCTGATTACCTGTCTCCCCAGCAATTCCACACCCGAGTAAGAAGCCACCTCCACCTTGCTACCCCTGTGGCCGGAGCGAGTCAAGACACTCTTTTCTAGACCCTGGAACTGCTACTCGGGCACTGGAGCCTGCCCTCACCTGTGAGGCTGACAGAGGGTTTCAATGTCAGCAGCGCCCGGGGACCGCGAGAGCCCCAGGAAGGCGCGAAGGCGGCGACATTCAGCTTGCGACCCAGCGACGCCCCAACCACACCTTCTCAAGATGGGCGCGCCGCTCTCCCCGCTGCGGCCGGCAGCCGGGGGGTCCCCACAGCCACCAGCAACCAGCGTGCAGAACACCACGCCGCCATCTTGGCCCGGGGACACTGCGCCTGCGCCACCCGGCTCAAGGAGGCTTCGCAGGACGCTTCCGGGAACTGGCCCGCGGCGTGTAGGCCGGGACCCAAGGCCTACGCATGCGCGACTGCAACCGGCTCGGCGATTAAGATTGTTCTAAGGATGCTGTCAAGTACACTTTACTTGGAGAACCTCAGTATTCTGTGCTGAATAAGTAAAGCCTGCAGATCTCCTATGAACAGTGTGTGGAGTGTAGAGATTGTAACCGGACTGCTCATTCTAGCCAGGGGCAGGACTACAATCCCAGCCGACGCGTCCTTCCGTCGCGCGGTTCCCGGCATACTGCGCGGCAGGCTTCTTAACTCTGAGGTTGCGTCCGATAGCTTGTGACACGCCGGCTTCTCTCTTGGGTTGACTCTCAGTCTGTTCCGTCTGCTCCCTTCTCAGCTCGACTGATTGTGTTCGGCTGTCTTATTAGTCTTATCGAAACCTGTAGCAGACGTGTTGGTTCAGAAAGTCTAGCTGCGGACCCGGGGATTTAGCTGAGTGGTTTTGCCGCCTGCCTCGCAAGTGCAGGGCCCGAGTTTGATCCCCCAAACCAAAATAAATAAATAAATAAAACAAATAAAAGTAAAAGAAAGTCAAGCTGCGTATAGTGACCCAACTCTGTAATCCCACCACTTGGAGGCTGAGGCAGGAAGATTACTGCGTGTTTGAGGTCAGCCTGGGCTACATAGTGAGTTCAAGGCCAGCCCTAACTACGCAGCGAGACCATGTCATTCATTAAATAAATGCGAAAAATGAATTTAATAAAAATGTGAGGGCCGGGGATTTAGTTCAGTGACGCCGATCTACCTAGCAAGCCCAAGGTTTCTGAGTTTGATTTCCAGTACCGAAAAAAACAACTTGTGAGCACCTACTGTGTGTCATGCATCTACTGTGTATTATTCACGTTCTGGAATATTGGTGACACAGTGATAACTGTTATCCCATGCCTACTTTACAGGAGCAAACCTCACTGGAGAGGGACTCCTTAGCAACTGACAGTGAGTTAAGTTGCATCATAGGTATTAACAGTTTACAAACCTACACATGAAGGAGTCATTTAATTTTTCAAAGGGGAGGGTGGGGCGGGGCCAGATTGGAGAGTCAATGATTATGAGAGGTGATGTTTGAATTGGACCTTGATGAAAAGTGCAGTGGGGAAGGGTGGGTGCACATCTGGTAGAGGTCGAGTTTTCCAAGAAGGAAGAACTTCAGAAACAAATGTCTAAAGATGTGAAAATAAGGCTAGTTGTGGTGGTGCACGCCTGTAATCCAGCACTCAGGAGGCCGAGGCAGGAGGATCACTGTGAGTTCGAGACCAGCCTGAGCTACATAGTGAGTTCCAGGTCAGTCTCAACTACATAGTGAGACCCTGTCTCAAAAAACCAAAAAAAAGAAGATGTGAAAATGTTTCCTTAAGCCCTAAATTTAGCTCAGTGTAACTGGAGATGAGGCTAGAAAGGTAGACCTGTCCTGGTATGGTATAAAGGAGCTCTAACTTTCACACTCCCATCACCTCTTGCTCCCGTAGCAATGGAAGTGAACCTGAGGGTTCATGGTTAGGTTTGAAATGATCAGTGCTCCATCCCCTGCCCAGTATCTCTAGTATCATCCATGAAATTTTTGTGCATGTACTTACAGGAATTTCTTTTTGTTTTAATGGGATCTCTGTATTGCCCAGGCTGGCCTCAAACTGGCAGTCCTTCTTCAGCCTCCTGAGTAGTTGCGATGACAGGTGTTCCCAGTTATGAATGGAGGTTAATCTGCATAGATAACATCTTTCATTGTGCAATTTTTAAATATTTATTTATTTATTTTGGGTTTTTTTGAGACAAGGTCTCACTATGTAGCTCAGGTCAGTCTTGAACTCATTATGGAGCCCAGGCTGGCCTCGAACTCACGGCAATCCTCCTGCCTCAGCCACCCTAGTGCTAGGATTACAGGTATGCACCACTACTCCCAGCCATCAACCAAAATTTTTTTGGTACTGAGAATTGAACTCGGGACCTTGCACTTGCCAGGTAGGCCCAGAGCCACTGAGCTAAACCCCCAGCCCCAAACAACCAACCTGGGGATCAGATCAGGACCTTGAGCTTGCAAGGCAGGCATGGTGCCATAATCCCAGGCCCCTTAAACAAATTTTTAGTGGGCTGAGACTTAGAGGTTAGCTGGGTATAATCGCTTCTCGGCCTTTTGGCTAAGATCAAGTGTAGAGGTTAGCTGGGTATGATGGTTCATGTCTGTAATTTCAACTGTCTGGGAGGCTGAGGCAAAAGGATCATTGAGCCTAGCTTAGACAGTTTACCGATTTAGCAAGATTCTGTTTCAAAAAGTACAAGAATTTTCAAAAAGGGCTTGGAATGTATCTTACAGGGAAGGCCCTGGGTTCAATCCCAGTACCACTTTTAAAAAAGTTAAAAACAGTCTATTGAAGAACAAATACCAGGCTTTTGTAAAATGCAAATAACAGTTGAGGGTTTAGGCCAAGGAAAGAACTGAAGTGAACAGAGGACACGGGAGGAACAAGCAGAAGAGTGCATGCGTGGAGAGGGAGCTGAGGAAATGTTTACCTAAGGTATCATATTTATTATTTTTTCTTTTTTTTCTTCCAGTACTGGGGATCAAACTTCGGTCTGAGGCAGGTGCTGGAACCACTGAGCTAAATCCCCAGTCCTAAGGCTTTGTATTTAAATCTCCCTAGTACAGTAGTTAGGAGTATTGGCTCTGAGATGGGTATGGTGTCATACATCTATAATCCCAGCATTCTGGGAGGCCGAAGCAGGAGGATCACAAGTTTGATCCCAGATTGAGCAATTTCATGACACTCTGACTCAAAAAAGTGGGGAGGAGATGTGGGGATCATAGCTCAGTGTTAAGAGCTAGGTTCGGGCCGGGGATTTAGCTCAGTGGTTCCACTGCCAGCCTCACAAGCGCAAGGACCAGAGTTCAATCCTGGGTATCAATAAAAAAAAATTTACCAAAAACAAACAAACAAACAAACAAAAAAGACCTAGGTTCAATTCCCAAATATATAAAGGCTCTGGAGGCAGTCTTCTTGAGGCTGAATTCTAGCTATGCCAGGTACAGCTATGTTTTGTTTGTTATGGTACTGGGGATTGAAGTCAGGGTCTTTCCATTGAGCTACATCTCCAACCTTTATTATTTTTTACTTTTTTGTTTGTTTTTTGAGACAGGGTCTTGCTATGTAGTTGAGACTGACCCGGAACTCACTATATAGCCCAGGCTGGTCTTGAACTCACAGCGATCCTCCTGCCTCAGCCTCCCAAGTGCTGGGAGTACAAGCATGCACTACCACCCCCACCTCTATTATTTTTTCCTTTGAAGCAGGGGCTCACTGAATTATTCGCACAGGCCTTGAACTTGAGGTTCTCCTGCCTCACACTTCTCAGAGTGCTGGGGTTAAACAAGTGTGCGTCACCACATTTGGCTGCAGCTGTGTATTTTTGTTATTTATTTATTTATTTATTTAATTACTTTTGCGACAAGTTCTTTCTATGTAGTCCAGGCTTGGACTTGAACTCATTATATAGTCTAGGGTGGCCTTAAACTCACAGCAATCCTCCTGCCTCAGCCTCCTGAGTGCTGGGATTACAGGCAGGCTCCACCATGCCTGGCTGTAGCTGTGTTCTTGAACAATTCGCCTCTCTGTTCCGCAGTTTCCATTTCTCTAAATTAGGAACCTAAAAGTAATTACCTTAAAGGCTCATCTGAGATGTTGACACAAACACCATCATAGGGACAGAGGACAAACAACTCCTAAGTATGATTTGTGATTTCATTTTTTTGGGTTGGGTTTTTTTTGTTTTTTTTTTTTTTGATACTGGAGATCGAACTCAGGTCCTTGCACTTGCAAGACAGGTAGGAGAACCACTGAGCTAAATCCCCAGCCCGATTTGTGATTTCTTCTGAGGCAGTTAAGTATTAAAAAGTGTTTTTTGCTAAAAACTGTGACTGTTTTTTTTTGTTTGTTTGTTTTCTTGGTACCAGGGATCAAACTCAGGACCGTGTGCTTTTGAGGCAGGCACGCTGCCACTGAGCTAAATCCTGGCCCTGACGTTTCATCTTTAAACTGAAAGCATATCCTTGGTAACTAACAATGTAAGCATTTCAGATGTTTGTTGGCCATTAACGAGTCTTTGGAGAAATGTGTATTCAGATCTTCTGCCTTTTTTGTTTTCAAATTTCATAAAATTTTGACTTTAAAAATGTTTCTATAGCTGAGTTTGGTGGTGCATGCCTGTACTCCCAGCACTCTGGAGGCTGAGGCAGGAGGATTGATGTGAGTTCAAGACGAGCCTGGGCTACATAGTGAGTTCCAGGTCGGTCTCAACTACATAGTGAGACCCTGTCTCAAAAAAACAAACAAACAAACAAAAATGTTTTTATAAGATATTCTCCTAATCAAAGAGACTTTCCCATGGGTGTATGTAGCCTTCTGCCTTAAAGATTACAGTATTACATCCAAAGGGGAGGGGTTTTTCTTTTTTATTCTTTTTGGCACAAGGAATCGAACTTGGGACCTTGAGCTTGCCAGGCAGGTAGTGGAACCACTGAGCTAAATCCTTGGCCACAGGGAGGGGTCTTTAAAATAGCTACCTAACTGCAAAGCCTATGAGGGAAGTCGATGTTTTAAAAAATAAATTTTATTTTTCCCCATCCTCCCCACTCCCTTTATGTGCCCTCTCCTCCCTATGTACAGAAGCTTTGTTTCCAGTTTTTCTATTTTCACTTTTTCTCTGGTCCTTTCCTTCCTTTTCCCTCCCACCTCCCTGTTCCCCTTCCCATTTGAACACTTTCTTCCCATTTCCCAACGTCCATTATACATCTCTGTTCTTATTTCCACATTCAGTCTCTCACACCAGAGAAACAATGTGGTATTTATTTGTTTGTTTTGTTTAGTTTTTTGAGACAGGGTCTCACTGTGTCGTTGAGACTGACCTGGAACTCACTATGTAGTCCAGGCTGGTCTCGAACTCACAGTG